TGATTCAAATCTTATTTATTGCAATAACTTAAACTATTATGACACTTTGAATTGCACAAGAGGCCTTTGCTTTTAAAACTGCATTTATTTGTGGAACACTTCCTTTTGGAATGGCAGCGTGTACATATACTCCTCTCTTTTCGACCTACACCAGAGCATATCTGTGATTGTCGACATACACCGGTGAGAGTCCGAATGTACAAGAATGTAAAGAAATATTCGATTTTTCACCGACGTATTTGGTGAATGTTGACATTCTCCGGTGAAAGTCTACATTCTCCAATTTCGGTCTTTCACGGTAATATATATATATTATATTATAATTATATAAGTCAATCAAAGGCCCACCAGCGGCCGAGCGGTAAAGACGCTGAACACTGGTAGTTCGGTCTGAGGTTCGAAACCCGCGAACGGGCTGGCTGCATGGGCGTTTTCGTGGTTTTCCCCATGTGTAACGTGTATACGAGCCAGTTTCCCTTAGAAAGTCCTCCACGAAAGGCATCCCTCCCTTTAGGCAGATAGCCCTCGTGTGCTTTGCCATAATTAAATACACCACACCCACACCATAAGTCAATCAAAGGTTACTTTTTGTTTCATTTCAAATGTCATATTTTTATGTAAAGTAGGTTAGAAATTATAAATGATTTTTTGAGAAACAACCTAATGAAACATCTTGTTTTTGTTATTTGATGATGTCGTATGAAAATTTAGAACATTACTTGTAATACTGTTTTCAAAAAAACATAATCAGTCACCTTTGTTGGAAAAGAACGCAATCAATTAAACGTTAGTGATCAAAAACAAAAAAGTTGCGCATGCTAAGTTATCAGTAAGTAAAACTGAATATTTAGTTTACGGAATATGTATTAAATGTACACAAACAAGATCAAAACTTCCAAAACCACTAGTCGGAGTCCTGATATTTCAGAATTTTGTATACTAACACTCGTACACCCAAAGAAATTTAATCATTAGAAAGAACTATAGCGTTAGGAAATCTCAAGAAATTAAATAAATGACCAAAAACAAATAAGTACAAAAAAATGTTAAAAGTTATTCAGAGTAATAACGGTCAAGAGTTTACAGAACGTTAATTTTATAAAATTTTATCCGATGAATTTAAAAGAATATACTTTTTGTGCCCTACAGACTGCAACGAATTCAAAAGAATATAGGTTTTTGTGCCCTACAGACTGCAACAAAATATAACAGTTAAAAGTGCGCATCGCAGGATCCTTACGGGCATGGATCTCCAGTAGCTTACTCAAGAGATAGACGTATACAGGAAAAGTAAACTACAAATACCTACAATGGATATGGTTAAAAATGCTTTGTATATCTCTTTTATGAAAAACTGGAAAGTAAAGCTTTTGCTTTAACAATGACAAAGGAAGAGTAGGCAAATTTCATGAAAGAACATAGTTTTATTCGTATATATATGAAATATATTATGTATTATATATGAAAATTTGGAAAGCAAAGAATAATTCGAGTGGACGACTTTCGATCAATTTAACTGAGCAGTAAGATAAGTGATCAACAACTGATTAAATAGACAGTTTTTATACCTGTAAATAAAGATGCTTCTGGCAATGAAAGTAAAGAAATGCCAAACGCGGGGAGAACAATTTCTGTGGAAAATTGCAATCAAGATAAAAGCTTGGTAAAAAAGACTTCGTAGATGTGCCATTTAAAGAAGTAAAATTCTCGGTAGACCGAGAAGAGAACTATTGACAACAAGGAGTAATAGCCGGGAAAATCTTCCAGATCCAAAATATCCATTACGTGTATTAATGGGTATCAGTTAATCAGAGAAACACTTCAAAGTATGCTTTTACTCTTTTTTTTTTAATTTACTTCAAATGTTTTTCCTAAGTTTATAAGAAGTCAAGAGTACTTAATTTCATAAGAAGTGGGATAATATTTAAGATTTAGAAAAATAGAATAGCATGAAAATTGAGAAGTATTTGTTTAATAATTTTATTAATTAAGCTTGACTGAAACTGCATTCTTACATACCCGCGTTTTCCTCCACGTTTACTCTCATTAAATATCAGTCCAATATATGACTGTATAAAATGTTTCATTAGTAATTTAGCATGATTATTAAATTTTCCAATGATTTATAAATATCTTGTAGAGACGTTAGTTTATTTTGAAGCATGAAACATGAAAATTGTGCAATGCTTTCGCATGGACTCGAACCCTGTACCTCTCGAATACGCGCCGAGTATGCTGGCTATTACACCCCGAAGGCATGCTAATAAGGTGGAAGAAATACCTTATATACTCCCCCTGTTAAAGGGCAGCTGGGGATTAGGAACCCAATCGCCAAATCCTGTTGGAGGAGAATTATCACCCACCACCTTTTTTTAAGTTCGGGTGACACTGTAGAGACATTAGGTTATTTTGAAGCATAAAACACGAATTTGTGCAATGCCCTCGCCTGAACTCTAACCCTGGACTTCTCGAATACGCGCCGAGTGTGCTGGCCATTACACCACTAACGCGTGCTAAGAAGGCGGGAGAAATACGTTATAATCTTACATAGCTATTCATCACTTAGAGGAAACCAGAGGATTACTATCTTAATGGAAGACAAAGAGAAAATTAATATTAATTAAAATTTACGTTTTACTTCGTTACGTTGCTTCACTTTGTCACCTTAGTAAACCAAAGTTATCTTTTACAATTAAGTTCTATCCAGCAGATTATTTGGAATTATTTACGTGTAGTTGTTTCTATGTTCAAATTTACACACTTTTTTGTTAAGATGCTACTCAATTTCAAGGTGAAAGAACATCGAGCTTAATAACGTAAATTAAACTTTCAATACACATTAAGCCTCATATGTGAATTTCGGATCATGAGCCTGATTGATTTAAAATTAACTTCAAATAACTTCATTTCTAACACTTAACTTCAATTAATTTCTCTTTAAATCAATTAACTTTAATTAACTTCTTTTCTAAAACTCTATAATGTGATTAAAGCGAAGGGACTTAAATGATATAGATATAATTAGAAAATAGATTGGAGGATGATACTTTCCATAGTCTGACATTATGTAATGCATTCAAAATATGGATATATCAAAAATGAACAAGCCCATACCCAAAGACAGAGATTGCGAAATGATTAATATAATATAAATAGCTTATAATTAAATAATTTTTACTTTGTTTAAAGGTATTCCTGCACATCAAGCGTTCAAGCAAGTGGTTACATCATGCATCTGCAGATGTCTCGAAGGAAATTGTCATAACTTAAAATTTAATTTTCCCATTTTAAATATTTAAATTTCTGTCTGCTTTTATATGTAAGAATAAAGGACTCGAACAATTCAACATCTTCTGAGAGAATAATAAACATATTTGTTTTGAAAATGCAATTGAATTGCAGTAGTTATTTTTTTAAACGCATTAATACTGAAAAATGAGGTAAAAAGTAATTATCATTGCATTATAGTTTAAGACAAAGTTAAAAAGTTAATTAACGATATTAACTGTAATGATTACAGTTAAACAGAGCCTTCTAAACACGCATTTAAGCTAATGTACAGAATGATACCAAGTCGGTGTTATTGCACTATATAATCATAACAGATATAAGTTAATGCATTTGTCTTAGATTCCAGATATAGAATAACTTAAAAACTGAAATTTGCTTTTGTAAGAACAAAGCTAATCGCAATAACATTAAATATACAAATGTTTTTAAATCCTATACATTCATTTCAATGATTATTACACTATAAAGCAAAGATTTGTTTATTTAAAATGTTTCTCATGAACAAAAAAATCAAACTACAAAAGCACAGCATAGAGTTTGAACCATCCTAGATTCACAGTTGAATTAGAACTAAATTCTATTTGAGCTTTCATATGTTAAAAAATAAAGTTAATAAATTATATATATATTTTATATATGAAAGAAAGTCATCTACGCAAAATACATTTTACTAAAATGCAATCTAAGTGAAAGACTTGATTATTTGTAATGGAATAAAATATTCTTTTATTGCTTTAAATATCACTTAAAATAGTTTTCAAAACTTAAAAAACTGTTAAAACGGAAGGAAATATCACCAAGTTTTAGCTTTTCATTATTTAGTAGTAATAGTCTTGTAAATAAGCCATAAACGAATTAAAATTTTATTAGTATTGAAAACTTACATGAGAACAAATGTTCAGTCTTCGAAGGAATCTTACCACATTTTCATATATACATTTACATATGTAACCATACTGAAGTATAATTATGTAAGTGTATTTTTAATAACATAACATTTTACTTAATGAACTATGATAAAAAATGTGTCTTTGCTGACATGATGATATTATACATACACATAATGCCAATATGTGAAGTGAAATAAGGCAACATTAATTAGAACGGGTTTTTAATAAGCTTCTTTGTTTAAAATCTATTTTATTTCTTAATTATCATTTCATAAAAATTCGTCGGAATACCGAGTTAAAAATGAAACATTTTATACAGTTTACGAAATATATTATTTATCTCTAAACGAAATGTTATGTATTCAAATTTTAAATGGCACTGTAAAGATATATTACCTGAAAGCAAAGACTATAAACATGCTTTGCAGGGAAAAAATTCTTTGTTGAATAAGCTGATAAGTGACATTTCGCACAAACATAAATATCACATAAAAGGATACCAGTTTTTAATAACTATGAACAAGTAGTATAATTCTTAACAAAATTCATAGCTTGAGTACATTTGCAGACGTTTGAAATCTATACTCTGAATTTTATATTTTCTTTCAGAACAATTCCTAATGCTGAGGATTATTTTTCTTCATATCAGAATATAATTTTCAAAGAAAGTATAATGCTCAAAGAACAGCCTCCACAGAAAAATAAAAAGCGTGCAGAATCTAAGTTTTCCCCATGATCAACGTGCTTAAATAAAGCATTGCGCATTAACTACACAAGGTTTTCAATAATTCTATGATTCAAGTTACAGAAACTACTTACTTCTTTATTTAAATTTTTTGAAGAATTATGTCTATGATTTTATGGCGTATTTTGCATAAGAACACGCGTGCTGCTTGGTCCACAAAACAGAGTTCACATCATGCTGAAAATCTTTCTGAGAGCTCTACCACAGTGCCGTGCACTCAGTGAAACCGCCACTCTTCGAATGTGAGCCGAGGAGAAAGGAGGAAAGCATCCTCCCCCAAATGATAAGGAAGAGCAAATGGGGACCGAGCAAATGGGGACAAGGCTGTGGCGCCACTCGGACCAACTGCAAGGTCACCAACCAGACAGGCGCTGGGTTCTCACTGTTTTTGAACCACTGACGGTGACTCAGATCTCAAAAACTAAAGTACTTTCTTAAGCTTCAGGTGGCGAAACTTTGTAGCTGAGGTAGAAAGAAACCTTTTCTTTTCCCTTTCGGCGTCTTTAGAATAAAACGGAGGCTGGTTCGCTTTATGACTTTAGTTTTCATAGGAAGGTGGGAAATAAACGCTACTTACTCTGTTTATGACTTTTTATTTTTACACCTGCTCGCGCTAAAGAAAAGTACGAAATACATTATCCTTTTTGCATAGGTAAGTTCGGAATATTATCGAAGAAGAAGTCAAAGCTTCGAAAGATAAAAAGATTTAACAAAAGTTTTCTCATTTATTACATTTTTTTCCTTTTAAAATTATCTTTTATTAAAAAAAGCATGAAACACATTGCAAAATCAGACAAAAACTGTATTTTATAAGAGGGGAAAAGTTAAAATCTAACGTATTTTCAGGAATTTGAGTACGTTAAATACTGCTTTCTAAAAATATTCGTTATGCAAACAAAGCATACTTTCAGTTTTCAGAATGAAATCTGAAACCTATTGGTACCATAAATTAATATGCAAATAGAGACTTGTATATCCCTAGGATTACAAAAAATATATAAACTATGCTCCTAAGGTTATTTTCCTTTTAAAATACAAAACTGTGTTTGTATTTTAAGGTGAACTCTCAGAATTTCAAATAAAGTTACAAATAAATACGTTACAAACAATTTATAATGTTATAAGTTTTCTCCCACTTTCATAGCGTGCCTTCGAGATGTAGTGGTTCTGCACACTGCGCCGGTATTCCAGACGTCCGTGGTTCGATTCGCGGCGAAGGCGTTTGCTATTTTTCATCTTACCTGCTTCCAAAAATATCCTAATGTCTCTACAGTGGCGCCCGAACTAAAAGGATGTTGGATGAGAATTCACCCCACCCAGGATTTGGGGACTGGGTCCTATAAAAACCCCAGTCGCCCTTTAAAAAGGGAAGTATATAAGGTATTTTCTCCCGCTTTCCTAGCGTGCCTTCGTGGCGTAGTGGTTCTGCAAGCTGGGCCGGTATTCCGGAGGTCCGTGGTTCGATTCCCGGCGAAGGCGGTTGCTAATTTTTAATCTAACGTATCTGCCTGCTTCCAAAAAATTCTAATGTCTCTATAATGTATAAAAAAAGTACTATGCAAGCAGTTTATTACTGCAGCCGAACAAATTGCCTCGAATGTCATATGCATTTATTAAAAAAGATGCATAAATGAAAAGATTAAAGCGTTTGCGATAATAATAGCAATTTTGAACGTCATTCATTAAGTTAATCGCATTTTCTACATGTTCCCGGTAATTCATTACATAAACTACTTCTATCTTTAAAATAAATGTTTTCAATTTTCAAAGAGAAATTATTTGCATAATTTTAATTCAGTAAAATCAAACTGCATACTAATCGCGGTTAAAGGAAATTGGAAAGAACGAAGCTCATTGCGGAGACTCGTTTTGGCGAGGCAGCGTCAAGGAGTAAAAAAAAAATTGTTCCATAAATAATTTTCTTCATGGAACACGTGTACACCAATACTGAGAAACTCAGTTCATTAATTGGAATAGATTATTTCCTTTGTTAAAACTTGAACAAATAAAGAGATATAATAATCAAGATAGCTTGTTTTGATGTTTATTCTTTGATAAAATGAAACATTGTTATGCACTCGGGGAGAAAAAAAAATAAATATATTAATGATAGTGCAAAATATCTAATTAAGATATTTTAGATAATAAGAATATTACCAATAGAAAGAATGAAATTATAGAATTTAGATGATAAGATATTTTAGAGGAAAAGAATTACTTTTGTTAATAAATATTACCTAAAAGGTAAGATTAAACTGAGTAAAAATTAGCGAATAAAGCCTTTAAAATTTAAACATTTTACAATTTTTTTTAATGAAAGAAAAATAATTTTAGAATTAATGAAAAAATATGTATTTCGTGTATTCTACCAATTTGAATATTGTTATTTAATATTTGTATTGTTATTACAACAGCTAATTTTAAATTAGCATATCTGATCAAAAGAAGCTCTGCAACAAACAGTTTAACGAACTGAAACATTTGTTCGTATAAAATATAAATTTTAAGGAAGTAAGAAATTAATAATTTTTTTCTGAATTTTCTCCTCTGGCTACATTAACATGTAATTTAAGAAACAGTTTTTTATAGATTAAACTATCTTAAAACCATTTATTACAATTAAAGTATACTCATGTAGTATATGATATAGTTCCTTATTATATTTATTCAAATTAGGAAGTGATCATAAAATAAGTCCCTTAATTTGTGAATTTCCTTAAATAAGTAGAGGAAGTGAGGCTATAGTTTTGAAGTCAGATGAAAGAACAAAGTCTAGGTACTATAAAATAACTATCTCCTTACTTATTTAAAATTTAAAATTAGGGAAAATTCAACCTTTGATGTTAGTTTATAGAGTCCTACTGTGTCATACTAACTAAAATGCCTTTCAGACCCTATTAGACTTTCAAACGAATAATGCTCGGCTTGCATAAAAATGACAAGTCCTACGCAGGCCTTTAAATAAACCTTTTCACTAAAATTTGAATTTAACATAAGGTAAAACTTGTGCGTACTTCCATAATTTGCGGTTATTAAAGTAAAAGTAACAGAATTTACAATTTAAAATGGATTCATAGTCTGAGACTAAACAGTGCCGGCCAGACTATTCTGGCTCAGACTTCAATGGCGCGATTTAACTTCGACTAGCAAACGGCTAATGCCGGAATACTAACTGCAGAGCTGGGCGATAGAAAAAACGAGTGCGAGCGTCACCGCCAAAAGCTTTATATCTAAAAATTTCAAAACCCTTGCCTTAAAGTAACATAAATTATTTGCACCCAGGTGAGGGATAATGAAGAGAGAAGTCATACTAAAGATCCAAATCACAAAAATGGGTTAATTATCATAAAATAACTTACAAGTTTCGCATAATTATTTCATACATTTAGACGGAATCTAACACAATACGCTGTCCTACAATAAGCAAAATTATTTTTGGCTGTTTAATTTGAAATACTTGTACATCATTTAAACAGATGACGCAAAACCAAAAATAAACTCCTTCAAGCAAAAAAAGGTCCTTTGCGTTTTTGTAAGAGCATGACATCTTATTTTAATGTTCTTCGTAACACAGCAGTTTTATTAATTGGAAAAAAAGTTAAATAAAAAATATTCCCAATTGCAGCTAGTTATGCTTAAATTCTTGATAATAATAAAAAGACAAAAATATGACGAAGCGAGGCGAAAATTAATGCTGTAAAACTTGGTCGAATTTTATAGTAGATATTTTAGAAAGTGTCTACTACATTTTTACAGAATTTACGACGAAGAGAAGGCTTAAAAAAGGATTTCGCTTGCTTCTATAGTTCGAAGTTAGGTTAATCTATAGTTCGAATTTAAGCAAATCTCTTCAGAATATTGTTCATCTCAAGTTTCGTAAAAATGTACTTTCTAGGAAATGGTTTCAAGCGAAATTGATTGAATTTGACAGAAAGTCTACACATCTTAGTGCATGCTTGAATATGCCCATAGTGAAATAATTAACTGTTAAGTTACACCTGAAGAGTTATTTAATATTATTTAAACATATGCCAGTATAACCATAAATATTACATTAACGACCTTTGATGACTCTCCTGTCTCGAAAATTTTTATGGAATATTTTCTTTATTATTAAAATATATCAAGTATTTTAATACGACATTGTTCTCTCAGTGAATGGAAAGTTGGTTTTTAAAAAAATTATGCATTTAAAATTTGCGCTGCTTTTGCCTGTCTAACCCTGCTATAATGAAGTTCAAAGGACCGAAAGTTTGGTTCACTATATCCGATCTGATAAGGAATGAAAGGTATTATCTCACAAAATAGTGAAAAAATTGGTGACTAAACATTGTCACATCTCTCAAACGAAGTGAATAATAACGCTAATTTTAAACAATCATTTAATAGTAAATTACAATTATTGTTCAGGGGAAGTGATAAATTTCGTTTACTTAGTTTTTCAGTTTCACCAAACATTAATAATTTTACATGGTAAATTGCTTAGCATAATTGTCATGGTTTTTACTTATCCGTCCAATTACAGACATTCATCTAAAATATACATTTGTGATTAGCATTTTTTCAGATAATTTTTGCGGCTTCTTTCTTTGGATGGTGAACTAGTTCAGCAATGTTTCTTCAACATCCTTATGATCGATCTTTTTAATCGTTTATCTGGTATCCAAATTTTTCTCCGCAAGTAGAAATTATCAAATCTCGATTTTCCCGAATGACATCAGCTGTAGATTTGGATAAACTATATTCCAGCCAGATACGGTTTCGGCTATAGGCACTGCGTATTTTTCGAATAATACTCACCTATTAACTAATATAGAATGCCATGCGTTTATTGCTCAGTATACGGTTGAATTTTTGACATAAAAAATTTCTCCATTGTAAACTAAAGGATTAAAAAACATTTAAGTTTGGCAGTTCTGGAAAATAGGAAAAGCGAATGTAATTTCATCACTAATCTGTCCTATGTTCAATCAGCCCATATTCATGTCCTCCAAGATTTGTGAAGTGCAATAACCCATGTAAAGAACATACAAAATCCTTCAAAACATCTAAAGAATGAAAAATCTCGGTACCAAGAGATTTGTTCGTTATACCTAGCTTTCGTTAAAAGACGGGTTCGCTATAGCGGGATAACTGATAAAACGGTGTTCTACGTTTTAATGTTACGCCAGTATTGCGCCACTACTTGCCTAGTACCTAACGGAATAATTTTAAATCTAATAGTTTATTAGTCTAACCTGTTAACTCGTCAATTTTTAATTCGTTATGA